TCTACCGAGGTGAAACTCAACAAACGTGGACGACTACAGGTGAAGGACCCACAATTTAAAGTGCCAACGGCGCATGATTTGGTTTATCTGGACGAGAGTCCCGATTGGTGTCGCAACAGTCGACAGCTGCAGTGGCCAGGTGAGTAAAAAATTTGGTACTTTCTATATATACTTCGAAATCGATAAAATTTTGTCTGTAACGGAATAACCCTGGTATATTTCTGAGAGGAAGCATTGAGAGCTTCAAAAAAAAGATGTGAAAAAATGCTTTGCAGTTAAAATTATTTCGGGTCAAAATTATGTATTTTAAAGTTATGCAAGAAAGAGTAAGTAATGCTCTGGATTCAAAATTATTTTCGACCAAAATTCTGTATTTTTTTACATGTATGTATGTATGATCTAGCCACGGTACCACCGGGTGAGCGGCCTTTTACAGCATAGCTTGGAAAGCACCGTCCATGACCGGGGAATTGAACGAGTCCAAAATTGATGGCCTTACCCGGTATGGAAAATGCCATTTTTTAAATTGTATTTTGTGGGAAAAGCTATACCTAAAGGCAGATAAATGTATCTAAAAATACATAAACATACATATGTTTGACTTCCACAATTTCACAAATATTTTTTAATACAAGTACTTTTTAAGCAAGAAACAAACCCGACTTCAATTGTCATACAAAAATTTAAGATTACCGTTAATTTCTTCACGATCCAATTATCGGATCTAAACAAGGTTTTCCGATGAAAAAAAAATTATCGAAATCGGTTAACTTGGTCCAAAGTTATGCGGTAACATACATAAAAAAAAATAAAGATTTCGGCGAACTGATAACCTCCTCCTTTTTTTGAAGTCGGTTAATAAGGAAGGCGTTTCCCATGAACGACGACATCTGCTACAAGCTTCTTCGAGAATAAGCAGGCTTTAATCGATACTTAACCTTCTATCGTCTAAGGGCCATTTTGACCGCTTTGAATGATTAATTAATTTGTCAGAAACTATCAGAGCTATCGAAAAGTGATGTATGTTTATATATAAAATTTTGTTAGCTTCAATAGTTCACTTACCTATGTGCATACATATACGGTTTGCCATGGTTGGGTTTATGGACAACGGTTAATAGAGTCTAGCTTTCTCGATCGTATTTTCTATATTGCCATATAACTCTTTCAATGACTCTCTGTTTGCGCTATATACTATTTTTTCTTGCTCTCTTGGAAACACTACATTTTTTTATAATGAACTTTATCTCTTTTTTGCACCTATAGGCACTCACGGCCGCATCTGCAATAAGACATCCTCCGGTCTGGATGGTTGCGGCATTTTATGTTGCGGTCGAGGCTACAACACCAAAAACATTGTGGTACGCGAGCGATGTAATTGCAAATTTCACTGGTGCTGCCAGGTCAAATGTGATGTCTGTGTGAAGGTGCTGGAAGAACACACCTGTAAATAAGTATCTACATAAATAATTACGAAAAAAGTAAGAGATTATTACATAATATCAAAAAATAATTAATGAATGAAATGCAACTACTCAACAACACATGGCGCTGACAAGAAAGCGATAAAAACATGCGGCGATAAGAAAGATATTTAGTAGGGGGAAAAAGCAAATAATAATACCTACTTATTTACAAATATTGAAAAAGTTGCAGTGCTACTCACTCGCTCCCTCTCTACACTAGATAATCCTTACGTGCGGCTGCTGCATGGCAAAATTTCATATTAAACGACTTAACTACTCAATTGCATGCGTACATATGTACATAAACATATATGTATATCTATCTGTATAGTTAAGTATGTATGTATGTATGCATGTATATGAATAATATAAGAAACGAAATGTTAAACGAATAACTGTAATTAACAGCGCAATTAAGCTACCAAATAAAAAAGTTGAATGTAAAAGAAAACCTATAAACCGAATTGATGTCTAAACAATTTATGATTACATATATATATATATTTATGAAAACAAAAATATAGCTTTTAAGGGAAGATAAATGAATAAGATGAGCTGAAATTTGATACCCTCCGCGTAATTGTATGTATGTATGTATGCATGTATGTATATTTTTAGGCGCGCAGGCAGCTCCCGAAAAGCTCCGCATTGTATGTAGAAACAAAATTCCATAATTGTAAGATGCATTTACATATTTAATGCTCAAAAGCAAAGAAATGGTGGACACATCAATTTATTTATTTTCAAACGCTAGCAGCTTAATTACATAAAGAGAAATTCTTTGTAAGTAGTTTCATAATTAAGTTTAGATATAATTTAAGTGCGCGTGTATGTGTGTGTGTGTGTTATATCCATACATATGTTTGTTTATCTACTTGTATGTAGTTAAGTGAAGTGTGTGCTCAATTTTCCGCACAGGCAATAACACTTCTCTAATTTACTATATTTTGTTGTAAGCCTAATTAGTATATACAATACATAACAAAATGTAAACCTACTTATTTAGGCATAACTCACACCTATAGTTTAGTGTAGCATATAGGGTATTTCGAGTAAGTGTATGTAAGTATATACTACATACATACATATGTATTTTGTTTAGTTGTAAGACGCACGTATTTAAATGACTAATTAACTCACTTGAAGAAATAACTAACTTACGGTCCAAGATAAATAAAATTTCTGAGATTGCTCGTGTTACAAAGCCTTCGAGAATGACGTGAAAAGCAAAATGAAAACAATAAACCTAAAGCAAAAAATAAAAATGGTTGCATATACTTTCAGGGGCAGACCCAGCAGTGGGGGGGGAATGTTTTTTCAACATATATCGTGAATAACATACTAAAATAGTATGTACTGAAGTAGGCAAAGCACAAAATATGTTATTATATTTTAGAATTCTAAGAATTTTTAAGGTTCTATACACAAGTACCATGAACAAAAGATTTTTTCGTCAATTTGATTTCAGAATAAATAAAATTCTGAAAAATTTGGAAAATATAAAACTTTCAAAAATCTCAATAATTTTGTACATTTCAAAATATTCTCATTTTACCACAATTTCTGGAAACTCCCAGATTTCGATAGTTTTTGAAATTTTGGAAATTATCCTAGAAATAAGAAATCTCAAGAAATTTAATAATTTCATAACATTCAAAATGTGGAAGTTTTGTTTCGTAACAAACCTGCGAGATTATTCAAACTTGCTGTGACTTTCAACTATGTAAAATGGTACAAATTCGAAAATAAAACAAAAAAAGTAAAAATTGAAAATTATTAATTATTAATTTTAGTAGGGTCTTAATATGTAGTATACGTAGCCAGATAAGAGACCACTCGGGAGGAAGCCATAAATGTACTTCCGCTTTCACATGCGCCACAGCGCGACAATCTAAGAATTCTCACGCCTTCATAAATAGAGGATTTGCTGTGTATCCTCTTGGTCAACTACAGAAAGGCTGAAGCCTTTTTGCGACTCAGCATATTCTAAGAGTAATTTTGTTGTTGCATTTGAAAGACGTTTGCAACTATTAACTTGCCTTTATGACGTTTTACATGAGTCCAAGACCCTTTCTTCTGCCTGATTGTTCAGTGAAAGATTTCTATTGCGAGAATTCTCTTCTGGCGTCCAAAACTGCCTATTCCTGTATTCTCTTCCTCGAGCTTCCATTGCATAGTTTACCAAATTTGAGATCCTTTGCTGATCATTGTGGTTATCACTTTACAGGTGTCCTTTTCAGGAATTTAACTTTGGGCTTGATATTGATTGGGATAACTTCGGTAGAACTCAGAATTTGATTGAAGAATGCTCTATCACAGCATTCGGTTCAAGAACGCCCTATCTCAGCATATTTTCATTTGAGATGGGGCGTTTTTGCACCGAATTCTGAGATAGGGCGTTCTTCAACTAAATTCTGAGATGGGGTGCTTTCCAAAAAAAAATTGAAGTAGGGCGTTCTTGAAAAGTTTTCTCGGAAAGGGCGTTTTCGAACTGACTGCCGAAATATGTCGATGTTCCAACAACAAAGATTAAACCTTAACTATTGCTTTCGTAATTTAAAACATGTCTGCAAATATGAATTTATAGTTCAGTTCTTTTCAGTGGCAAGATAAACAATAGCTAGCAGAGTTATCTGCGAAATTATAGCATAGATTTGCTTTTCTTGGTTTAAGTACAATAAAATATCTGAGTTACTTGAGCAGTCCTTGCGCGAATTGGTTCCCTATATCGTGGGTCTACTGTACGATTGCCACAAAAACTAGCTTGTAAACGCTTAAAAGAAGACAAAAACGCTATAACCATTGTAATGTCGGCAAGTTTTACCATTGCGTAGGAATAGGGCCGTAAGGCTTAATTTTAATCAAAATTTATTACAAAATATTTGTAATAAAAAAAGGACTTTCAGATGCCTTACACGAAGCGGTCAATACTTCCGAACATTGCTTACGCTGTTGAAATTTTCTAGGTGACATTTGTTTAACGGAAAGTGTAGTTTTGAAATTTAAGGTATCTTAATTTTATGATTATTATTTTTTTTTCATTCAGATAACGATTTTCCAAAAAAAACTCATAGACCTTTTGAAGCACAGGCAATTCGGTTTAATAGAGAAATCAACTCAGTCTCTGTCCTTATTGTACTTTCCTGTTTGCATAAATATGTACATATGTAATGGTGAAAAGTTTCAGTATAAATAATTTAATTTAAAAACAAGTTAAAAAAAAAACTTTATAGCGTTCCTCCAAAAAATGGAGAAATGCATTAATAGGTAACCCATTCAAATTAATTATAAGATTAAGAAATGGTCTTTAATGATTCACAAAAAAAATATCTATGTAAATCAACATAAATACTTTCTGAATAGATGGATTTAACCAATGATATAAACACAATAGAACAAAAAAGAGAACTAAGTAATATTAATTTATTTATAGGGAAGAATAAATAGAAAACGAAATCAATAAAAATCGCATAGAATGTATGTATGTATGTATGTATGTGAACTGTTTGAGGTTACAATGCTCACAAAGGATTAAAAAATTAACTTACTATTATTGTATGTAATTTTGTGCATGAAATTCAAAATAAAAATATATACATATATTTAAAAAGAAATATATAAAAATAAACTAAGTATGTATGTAGTTATGTAAGTTTTAGCGGTCGTAAGAAAAGCGAGAGTAATGTAGTCTATTTAAACCAATATAGATGGCGCAAAAACAAATTATTAAAATTGATAAGAAAAACAAAAAAACAGATAATACAAATTAAACGATGCAAAAAAAAA